TTCACCCTCAGCTGGGGTGGTTTGAAATAGCAGGAATTGGAAATCAGCTCTACTGATGAGTTAAACACAACCACCTAGGACTGTGCCGCCCTACTGCTGTGCTGAAAATGACCATAAAATAAAAACCAGGCACAGAAAGTATATTATATAAGCACCTTTAGTTACACTAGATTAAAATGGCAAACCCAAACAGAACAGAGATAGTGTATTTATAAAATGAAATAGCATCAGAATATATGTTTGTGCAGTCTCTCTCCCTCTGAACTGTCCCTACAAATAATAGAAAAGTAAGAATCCTTAAGCCAGGATTAGGAAGATGGTTCAGTGATAAAGGTATTTGCCACCAAACATAATGACCAGAGTCCAATCCCTGGGATCCATATGGTAGAAAGGAAAAACCTATAAGTTGTTCTCTGATCGCCATATGCACACACAATCAATCAATTAATAATTTTAAAAAAAAATTCTAAAGGATAATTATTGGGAGGCTGGAGAGATTTTTCAGCAGTTAAGAGCACTGACTATTCTTGCAAAGGATTTGGGTTTGAGTCCCAACACCCACAAAGTGGCTCACAAATGTCTGTTACTCCAGTTACAGGGAATCCAAAGCTTTCTTCAGGCTCTAAAAGCAGTAGGCACTCATGTAGTTCACAAACACACACACAGGCTAAACACCCCCCTAAAAATAATATAAAAACTAGGGGCTGAACAGATGGTGTGATGGTTAAGAGCAACCACTGATCTTCTTGAGGACTTGAGTTCAGTTTTACACCATGATGACCTGTAACTCCAGCTCTAGGAGACTCCAAGCACTCGGGCATAAATGCGCACATGCGCGCGCACAGACACACACACACACACACACACACACTGCATACATTCACACAGACATAAATAAAAATAATTCTTTTTGTCTATTTTTTTGAGAAGGAATTTTCTCTGTGTAGCCTTGGTTATCCTAGAACTTGCTCTGTGTACCAGGATAGTCTCCAACTCAAGAGATCCACCTGTCCCTACCTCACTAAAGGTGTGCATCACCATGCCTGGCATTAGAAAAAAAAAGAAAAAATAGGGGGCATCATAGCACACATCTTTAATCCTAGCACCCAGAAGGCAAAGGCAGGTATATTTCTGTACATTTGAGGCCATCCAGGTATACATAGTGAGTTCCAAGCCAGTCAGGGCTACATAATAAGATCCTGTCTCACAAATTGAAAGAATGGAGGAAGGAGGGAGGTACAGAGGTGGGGGAGTAGGGGGGAAATGTCAGGACTAGAAAGATGGCACAGAAGTTAAGAGAACTGTCTGCTTCTCTAGTGAACCCATGTGGCAGCTAACAACCATCTGCAGTTCCAGTCCCAGGGAATCTGCCTTCTTCTGGCTGCACCTGGTTCTCCAGGGCACTACACAAACATGGTGCAAAGACGTTTATATAAACAAATAAAAACATTCCTGCACATAAAATAAATCTTAGAGAAGGATTTCACTTATATGAAGTTTATTAATAAACAAAATACAGTGACTATAGTCACAGTATTGGGGTAGAGAGATGAAGTACTCAGTGGAAGAACCATTGACAATGAAGGGACATACAGGAGCTCTCCTAAATGCTAATAAGATTTTTAAGTATCTTTAAAATATTTTTATTTTTAATTGTGTATATATGTCTATATCTATCTGTGGTATATGTACATGTGAGTGAGTACAGCTGCTGCACAGACAAGTGACTAATCTGGAAATGAAGTCACCTGACACAGATGCTAGGAATGGAACTCAGGTTCTACGTAAGAAGAGTAGACACTCTTAACCACTGAGCCCAGCCTCTAAAGCCCAGAGCTCTCAAACCTTGATTTGAGCTGGGTATAGCTCAGTGGTGAGCAGAGTGTGCATGAGGCCCTATATGTTCGATTTCCAGCGTTTAGAAGGAAGAGTAAAGAAGGGAGGAAAATCTTGATATGGGTTTAATGTACTCACATGTGAACTTTAGGAGCTATATACATATTTGAGCAGTTTAATATATACAGATTACACCTCAGTAATAACAAGAACAGTGACAACAGACTTACACTCCCAACAACTCCATTTGCCTGCTTCTGCTTCTGTTGTTTTCCCTGAGGTAAGGGCACAGCTGTGGGCTTTTTTTTTAAAGGCTTCTTTTTTTTGGACTTAGGCATTTTCTTGGGTCCCTTGCTCTTCTGCTGCCATCCTCCTTTTGCCTTGTTCTTGTTGGCATCAATCTGCTGCAAACCAAATGCAACTAGTAAGGCTTCACAGTCATTTTTAGAAGAAAGTGACAAAAATACATATTTTCATAAACTGTATTATATACCCTGTGGTAATATAAGTCAACCAAAGAAGTAAATAAAACATTTCTTCATCAAGAAAGTAAGAAAAATCAAATTCTTACCCCGTCTTCTGCAGGCTGTTCCTCAGCAGCGCAGATGGACTGCTCCTTTTCAAATACTTCCTAGAGGCAACAAGAACAACAATATCTATCAGCCCATATTTGTCTATCAGATAAAATATAAAATCTTTAAAAATATTTATCTATAAAGGTTTTATTAATCAGTTGCAATTGAGAGGGTGGGTAGGCTTGGCAGTCAAAAGTCTGTATGTATGCAAGGAGCAACCTTCTGAAGTACCTTATAACTATCATAAATAGATTTTTAAAAGTACAGTCTATTTTTTATATTTTAATAAACTTTGGAGAAAAAAAAGTACAGTCTATTGAACAAATACAATGACTTAATTATGCAATTCATTATAAAGTCAAAAATATTTCAATTTAAAATTTCATTTTATTCTAATAACAATCAAGTAAGAATATTTTAATGAAAATTTGAATAAATCATATTATTCTAATTTTCACCTTCAAGGGACCACTAGAAGTTTATTATTATCATTGGATTACCAAGAAAATCCACATTCTAAAAACATATCAGAATTAATTAAAAAACTATAAATTTATAATTTAAAGCTCAATTAGAACCTAGTAAGAATGCATAGTGAAAACTGACAAGTGGTATAGGTTGTGCTCAATAAATGTCTTAGAATTATAATCAATAAATGAACACAAACAATTAAGCTCTATACGAGACAGGCTAGAGATCAATAAGCTGGCATCATCATTTTGTTTTCATGGTTTTGACAGTGTCTCATCATGTAACTAACCCAGCTGCCCTGAATTCACAATCCCCCTGCCTCAGCCTTCTGAGTTCAAGTTGCTAGGACTACAGACACGAGCCACCATACTGACACTATAAGGCTTTATTTTCTTTGTTTGAAGTGATGAAGAAAGAACCCATCACCTCACATATGCTAGGCAGGTGCTAAATCATTAAACTAACACCACCAGCTCTGTGTGCGGGTGTGTGTGGTGGGGGAGGGGTAATGCATGTGGAAGTCAGAGGTTGGTGTCAAGTGGCTTCCTTTCGTTCACATTATTTTTTGAGGCAGGTTCTCTCACTGACTTACTGACTTGGCTGGAGTGGGAAGCCAGCAAATTCAAGTAAATTTCCGGTCTCCACCTCCCTAGTGTGGTATTAGAGGAGCTTGTCACCATGCCTGGCTTTTTATGTACATGCTAGGGATTCAAACCCAGGTTCTTATGCTTGCATGGCAAGCGCTTTATTGACTACACCATTTCCCTAGGACTACTGCCAGCTTTAAAAATACTACGAGAACACAACCATGTCCTTCTGTAGGTTCAGTAACTGGTACAAAAACTAGATGACCTATGAAACTTAAACTATTTACTATCTGAACCTTCGTTTAAAGAGGATTGTCACTCCCTAGTCTAATTCATCACTTCTTCATCTCTCCATTTATTATCTGGACTGACTAATTGATTACTTTTAGGTACAGTTTGTTTAAGAAAGGGAAAAAAGTTCATAAAGTATAGAAATACAATTACAAAGAAAGTGAGATGTGCATGTCTGTAGTCACAGCCCTCAGGAGACTGAGTCAAAAGGAACAAAACAGTAGAGGCTACATAGCAAGACCCCGTTTCAAACACAAAACAAAAAAATCGAGCCGGGAGGATGGTTCAGTCAGTGGAATGCTAGCCAAACAAGCATGAGGATCTGAGTGTGATACCTAGAACCAAGGTTTGAAAAGGTATAGGACTGGGGGTCTAGAAAAGTATCTCAGTAGTTTAGAGCACTTGTTGCTCTTGCAAAGGATCTGGGTTCAATACCAAGCATCCATATGGTAGCTCACAACCATCCATAAGTATAGTTCCAGGGCATCCAATACCCTCTTCTGATCTCTGTAGGTACCAGGTACCCACATGGTTTATATGTATACAGAAAGGCAAAACATTTCTTAAAAAAAATAAAAAGTAAAGCCAGGCATAATAGACAATACGTGCTTATAATTCCAATGCTAAGGAGATAGAGAAAAGGGGATTTCTGGAACTAGCTAGCCAGGAAGCCTCACTAAATTGGTAAACATGGGGCCAATGAGAAACACTATCTCAAAAAACAACACTGCACCAACAGATTTTAACCTGAAGCCTCCACAAACATACATATACACCCATGTGCAAACATGTGCATTTACAAACAAACCAACAAATAATACAAATAAGCCTACAAAATAATACATATATAAATAAATAATACAAATAAACTACTTACAGCCATTGTCTGCCTTGTCAATTTAACCAACACTGTAACTAGGGATCCTACTGTGATGTTGTTGCTATCCTCATCATCCAATACTGTAAGATAGGAGGAATAGAGCAAAATATAAAAAACAAGTTCCAAGTCAACGCAAACAGCAATATTTAACTTGTCAAAAACAATTTAGTACTTTAGTATTATGCTTTAAGCTTATTAAAAATAATTTATTGATTACTGTATAAAATCTCCAGATGCCTTCAACAGCTGCCTCATTTAATCCTTAAAAGAATTTTATGATGTATTATCATTTCCACTTTAAGAAACCAAGGTTCAGCTCGAGCAGCTGCCAGAGCCAGAGCGCCGGACTGACCTCCGGACCGCCGCCCCCGCCGCACCATGGCCGAGAGCGACTGGGACACCGTGACGGTGCTGCGCAAGAAGGGCCCCACGGCCGCACAGGCCAAGTCTAAGCAGGCCATCTTAGCAGCTCAGAGACGAGGAGAAGATGTGGAGACATCCAAGAAATGGGCTGCTGGCCAGAACAAGCAGCATTCCATCACTAAGAACACGGCCAAGCTAGACCGGGAGACAGAGGAGCTGCATCACGACAGGGTGACCCTGGAGGTGGGCAAAGTGATTTAGCGGGGCCGGCAGAGCAAGGGCCTGACGCAGAAGGACCTGGCCACGAAAATCAATGAAAAGCCGCAAGTCATCGCAGACTATGAAAGTGGACGGGCCATTCCGAATAACCAGGTTTTGGGCAAAATTGAGAGAGCCATCGGCCTCAAGCTCTGGGGGAAGGACATCGGGTAGCCTATCGAGAAGGGGCCGAAGGCGAAATGAACACAAAGCCTCGAAGCCAGTGATTCCGGCTGAGCTCTTCTGGCTGGTCCCCCAGGACCACCAGCACTGCCTTGGGTCTCCTCACATGGTCAAACGGAACACGGGGGTCAGGCCTGTGTGCCCCCCCCCAACCCATACCTGCTGTCAAACAAAGCAAAAGCTTGCAAAGTGAAAAAAAAGAAAAGAAAAGAAACCAAGGTTCACAGCCAGCACTGCCAAATTTCAAAACAAACGTTGCAGAAACTGTATAATTTTACTTCTCTGACCAATGCCTGCCTGTGGGACTAAATAATAAAAACTGGCATTCCAAATGACCTTAAATATTTAAAGAGACAATATTTAAAGTAGGAACTTCAACATATTTTCTTTACAATAAAAAACATTTTTAAGTGTTAGCTTGGAATAAAATATTAAAACTGGAACAACAACAACAGAAGATTAGCATTGTCTGTATACAAAGATGATATGCAAATTTGTGTAGAGGTCCATATTTTAAAGAGAATATTGCCCAGCAAATGCTATGGTTTGAAAGAGGATGGTCACCACAGGCTCATATTTGAATTAGTCCCCAGTTGGTAGAACTGTTTTGAGAAGGATTAGGAGGTGTGGCATTGTTGAAGAAGGTGTGTCACTGGAAGTGAGCTTTTAAGTTTCTAAAGGCCCAGTCCTGCATGCACTTGCTCTCTAGCTCTCTCTTTCTCCTTCCCTCCCTCTCTCCCTCTCTCTCTCTCTCTCTCTCTCTCTCTCTCTCTCTCTCTCTCTCTCCTTCTCTCCCTCTCCCTCTCTCTCTCTCTCTCTCTGCATCCAACTCACAGATCAGGACATAAGCACTGAAATGCTGCTTCAGTGCCATACCTGCCTGCCTGCTGTCAGGCTCCCTCCCAAGATGGTCATGGACTTACTCACCACTGTAACTAAATAAGTCCCAATTAAATGTTTTCTTTTTTAAGTTGCCTTGGTCAAGGTCTCTTCACAGCAATAGAAAAATAACTAAAAGAGCAGAAAAGATGATACAGGGCCACATGAAAAGCCAGGCATGTAAAGTACATGTAAAACTAGCATGGGGCAGGGGGCGGGGTGAGTGGGTAGAAACCAGTGGAATCTAAGAGCCAGCTGCTACCCAGTCTAGCCAAAAAGTCTAATTTCTGGTTCATGCATGCAACACAAGCTCGTGCTCATACACGTATGTGCAGACACACACACACCTCTACACACAAAAATACTGCTGCCAATAACATTGCAGCTTTATAATAGTTATTAAAATTAATATATAATATACAGTAAAACCATTGTGGAAAGGGGGTAATGGAAACACTTATTTTTGTAATGTACCTTTAAATTTGAAATTATTTCAAAATAGAAATTTAGGGGAAATTTTCTTTGGTAGGCCGTATGGTGATCAGTTCTGTAAACCCCAGCATTTAAGAGATTGAGGTAGAAAGATTGCTGAGGGGTTAGGGCTACCATGAACTACAAAATGAGATCCTGTCTTAAAATCAGCTACCAAACAAACAAACAAACAAAAAAGAATAGAAGAATATTTCTTTTGTAATAGTCAGTACTAAACAGAGTAGTATGTGTAATTATTTAATTTTGCCATACAGCCCCATAAACCACAATATAATAAACAAACAAACAAACAACCCTCTGTAACGCTCCAGCGACAACTTGACAAGAGACAAGACTCTGAACATGTCTGCAGGAGTTTCTGGATGGGGTTAACTGAGGTGGAAAGATCTACCCTAAATGCAGGCAGGAGTGGTCCTGTGGGCCAGGGTAATGGCCTGATCTGACAAAGGAAAATGGCAGCTGAGTGGCAACATTCATCTCTCTGCTTCCTGACTGAAGACGCAATCTGTCCTGGTGCCTCACACTCCTGCCACCAAGACTCCAGCACAATGGACTATACCTCTCAAACCATGAGCCAATACAAACCACCTCCCCTTTAACGCTTGCAAGGTACTGTGTCAAAACAATGGGAGAGATAAATACTTTTCATACCTTTTACTCCAACGACATTAATTCATTTTTCTATAGATAAAAAATTTCTTCACTAATAATTTTTGGTTTTACTATTTTCTAAGTTTGTGCTTGGCTTACAGAACACTGATTTAGTCAGCACACTGTTCTGGCCTTTATTACATACCAACATATGAAAAACAGTAGTCTCCAACAACTTATAACTGCTAATCCACTACTAGTTATAAGAAAAAGCACACTATCCTTTCTTTATCCTAGAAGCCTCTGTTATCAGAACTCAAAGCTGGGCCACATGTGCACCCACATTTTTCACTCTGCAGTACCTGTGACATCTACTGCATCAGTGTATACAAGTATTCAGTGTTGTAAAGTGGGGGTGGGGGAAAGCCTGCCATGAGATGATACACAGCCTCTAGTGATAAAGGGAAAGCAATTATCTCCACCACCATGTTGAACACTGGTCTTATAATCTCTACTCTTCCTTAAACTATGTGACTCCTATGATATACACAAATAACACAGTAAAATGAACTCTCATTTGTTGTTGGATATTAGCTTAAGATGTCTTAGATTCTTTTATGATGTGGAATATTTGTTTAACGATACAAAAATGTGTTGCATTCTTTTATTCTGTAAAGCTGTGTTATTGTGCCTGCCTAAAACACCTAATTGGTCAAATAAAGAGCTGAATGGTTAATAGCTAGGAAGGAAAGGGATAGGCAGGGTTGCAAGGCAGGGAATAAACTGGGAAGGAGAGAGAAAAGGAGTGAGAAAAGGAAGAAGAGAGGAGGATGCCGGGGGCCAGCCACACAGCCAGCTACAGAGCCAACTACAGAGTAAGAAGGAAAGAAAGAGATATAAAGAAAGGCAAAAGGTAGACGGGATAATTTAAGTAAGTAAAGCTGATTAGAAACAAGCCAAGCTAAGGCTGGGCATTCAGATGTAAAAATAAGTCTCTGTGTATTTATTTGGGAAGTAGTTGGCAGGTCCCCAAAGAATATAAAGAGTTTTTTCTTCAAAGACAAATCTCTTCACTTGTTCTAAGCATAAATGTTTTACAATAATTGATTATAATGAAGATTACTTCTTAAGTTCCAAACTGGATTTGGCTAAAAAACTAAAACCCTAAATGTAGTATTCAAAGAATTGTTTTTATTTTGTATGTATGTGTGAATGCCTGCAGGCATGCATGCACACATGTGTGGATGGTGTTCAAGGAGTTATACGTGGGTGTGAGCTACCAAGTGGGAGCTGTGAATCACACCCAAATCTTTTGCAAAAGTAACAATTGTTTTTGTGGGGTTTTTTTGTTTTTTGTTTTTGGGTATTTTGTTGTTGTTGTTTTGAGACAGGGTTTCTCTGTATAGCCGTGGCTATACTGGAACTTGCTCTGTAGACTAGGCTAGCCTCGAATTGAGAGAGATCCGCCTGCCTCTGCCTCCTGTGTGCTGGTACTAAAGGTGTGCACCGCCAGGACCTGGCACAGCAAGTGCTCTTAACCTGGCATCTCTCCAGTCCCTAAGTGCAGCATTTGATTAGTGATTAAAGTCTAAAAACTCACCAATCTAAAAGAAAATTCCCAAATCCCAAAAAGAGCTGTCCAAAGTATTTCCTGTCTGTATTTACTGTATGTAAATACTTTGTAAATGTCCTACACACTAGACAAACTGAAACCAGATGATATTGTTTGCTTCCCTTTGCCTAGAATGATTTAGGAAATCATTTACTTCTCATTTATATTAGAATACAAATTCAGTAAGGCAAAGTGCCTTAAGCATAGCTCTCCAGGTGCCAGTCAAAGTACGCAGCACTCAATGCTGTCTACATGAATAAATAGACTGTCATCATATAACATTATGGCTGTCATCAAATAACATTAAGCATCCATTATGTTGTTTTTAATCCTATCCTCAACTAGATGATGAACTCTTTAAAGACAGAAACTATTCCTAACATGGTCCTACATTCTTGGTATCTAAAAAAAAATGTTCTCTCAACAGTGAATTGGTGAATGTTACACTCAGAACTATATGGCAAAGACAAAATAAACCAATAATCTGTAATTCTGTGTTCAAAAATACTTCTCGGCTATTAAAATGGTGACAGGGCAATTATGTAGGTAGAAAATGTTTTACTTAAAACAAATATAAAGACAGAGATAAAAGAATGCATGAAATACAGGCACAGTAATTTTCAAAGCTTACTATAGATAAATGTTAATCTCAGCTCTAAATAACTATTTCTTTTAACTATGTATTCGAAATATCTTCTCTTTCACCATACTTGGACACTTCTTCCATTCTTTAGAAAGTTAAGCAATCAAGGACTCCACTGAAAAGGAACTGAAGGAGAAGAAGCCCGTGGTGTTAAAGTGGGATAGCTGCCAATAGATCCTGACGCAGGATTTCAGCCCCAAAGGCATATAGGTTACAATCAGTATTTTAAGTACATCAACTTATAAAAAGGCTGCATAGCACTGCCAGGGTTAAGACAGGAATGGCACGGATTGGAGAGATGATTCAGCAGTTAAAAGCACTTGCTGCTCTTCCGGGGGACTCAGGTTCAATTCCCAGCACCCACATGGTAGTCCACACCTGTCTGTAACTCCTATTTCAGGGGATCTGTCACCTTCACAGACATACATGCAGACAAAACACTAATGAACATAAGAATAAACGTTTTTTTAAAAGACAAGAATGGCAGCCTACGACATAATAAGAGCAATAAAGCAAGAACCACAGGAAGAGGGTGCATTCTATACCCTGAACATGAATGCCTGCCCAGTTTATGTGTGAAGAATTCAACTAAGGTTAAATCTTCCATATTCTCACTCAGAACTAATTTCCAATTATAAGTGATTGTTACACAAAAAGAAAACCCATAACATTCAACTATAAAATAGTTTCCTTGCACTTAGCACAACTGTAACAAACATAAAAGGAGGGTCTTGACAAGAAAACCACAGCTCTGCAAAATCTAATTACAAATAACCTTATTAAAGTATTTTTAACGACAGATACAGTGGTCAATGACTGTGTTGTAGACTATTATTTTAAGATGTTACACTTGTTTATGCTGTAGAACATTTGTTTAATGATGCAAAGATGTGTTGTATTCTTTTATCTCGCATTTGTTTAACTCTGTGAAACTATGTTACTTTCTTTGCCTGTCTAAAACACCTGATTGGCCTAATAAAGAGCTGAAAGGCCAATAGTGAGGCAGAAGAAAGGATAGGTGGGGCTGCCAGGCAGAGAGAATAAAGAGGAGAAATCTGGGAAGAAGAGATCTAGGAGGGGAGAAGGAGGAGGATTCCAGGGGTCAGCCACCCAGCTACACAGCAAGCTACAGAGTAGGAAGAGAAGTACATAAGATAAACATAAAAGCCAGAGGCAAAAGGTAGACAGGAAAATTTAAGTTAAGAAAAACTGGCAAGAAATAAGTCAAGTTAAGGCTGGGCACTTATAAGTAAGAATAAAGCTCTCTGCATGTATTTATTAGGGAGCTGGGTGGTGGGC